AATTAAGAATTGAACTGAAGGAGATAGAAAAATAGCAGTGTGCATCACAGCAATGAATTACACATATATATGCATGTGTGCCTACATGTGTAATATATATGTGTGCCTAATATATAAATGTAAATAATATATATTACAAATATCTTTAAATATTTAAAGTATTACTTTTCCATTCTGTTTTCTCTGCTGTTATCATAACTGACATAAGATATTCATAAATACTGCACTGATATTTAGAATCAAATACAATTGAAAAATGGACAACAAATAGTACTTGAACTCTGAAATATTTAAAGGCACATTAAGAATGTGCTTTAAAGGAGAGATCACTACCAATACCAAGGAAATACAAACGATTTTAAAAACGTATTATGTGCAGCTATACGCCAATAAATTAGGCAATCTAGAAGAAATGGAAGCATTTCTGGAAGACCATAAACTACCAAAACTGGAACTGGAAGAAATAGAAAACCTGAACAGGCCAATAACCAGGGAGGAAATTGAAGCAGTCATCAAAAACCTCCCAAGACACAAAAGTCCAGGGCCAGATGGCTTCCCTGGGGAATTCTATCAAACGTTTAAAGAAGAAACCATACCTATTCTACTAAAGCTGTTTGGAAAGATAGAAAGAGATGGAGTACTTCCAAATTCGTTCTATGAGGCCAGCATCACCCTAATTCCAAAACCAGACAAAGACCCCACTAAAAAGGAGAATTATACACCAATATCCCTGATGAACATGGATGCAAAAATTCTCAACAAGATACTAACTAGCCAATAGGATCCAACAGTACATTAAGAAGATTATTCACCATAACCAAGTAGGATTTATTCCTGGGATGCAAGGCTGGTTCAACATTCGTAAAACAATCAATGTGGGGGATCCCTGGGTGGCTCAGCGGTTTGGCGCCTGCCTTTGGCCCAGGGCGCGATCCTGGAGACCCGGGATCGAATCCCACATCGGGCTCCCGGTGCATGGAGCCTGCTTCTCCCTCTGCCTGTGTCTCTGCCTCTCTCTTTCTCTCTGTGTGACTATCATAAATAAATTAAAAAAAAAAAACAATCAATGTGATTCATCATATCAGCAAGAGAAAAAACAAGAACCATATGATCCTCTCAATAGATGCAGAGAAAGCATTTGACAAAATACAGCATCCATCCTGATCAAAACTCTTCAGAATGTAGGGATAGAAGGAACGTTCCTCAGCATCTTAAAAGCCATCTACGAAAAGCCCACAGCAAATATCATTCTCAAGCACTGGGAGCCTTTCCCCTAAGATCAGGAACAAGACAGGGATGTCCACTCTCACCACTGCTATTCAACACAGTACTAGAAGTCCTAGCCTCAGCAATCAGACAACAAAAAGAAATAAAAGGCATTCAAATTGGCAAAGAAGTCATACTCTCCCTCTTCACTGATGACATGATACTCTACATAGAAAACCCAAAAGACTCCACCCCAAGATTGCTAGAACTCATACAGCAATTTGGCAGTCTGGCAGGATACAAAATCAATGCCCAGAAGTCAGTGGCATTTCTATACACTAACAATGAGACTGAAGAAAGAGAAATTAAGGAGTCAATCCCATTTACAAATGCACCCAAAAGCATAAGATGCCTAGGAATAAAACTAACCAAAGAGGTAAAGGATCTTTACCCTAAAAACTACAGAACACTTCTGAAAGAAATTGAGGAAGACACGAGATGGAAAAATATTCCATGCTCATGGATTGGCAGAATTAAGATTGTGAAAATGTCAATGTTACCCAGGGCAATTTACACGTTTAATGCAATTCCTATCAAAATACCATGGACTTTTTCAGAGAGTTAGAACAAATTATTTTAAGATTTGTGTGGAATCAGAAAGACCCCGAATAGCCAGGGGAATTTTAAAAAAGAAAACCATAGCTGGGGGCATCACAATGCCAGATTTCAGGTTGTACTACAAAGCTGTGGTCATCAAGACAGTGTGGTACTGGCACAAAAACAGACACATAGATCAATGGAACAGAATAGAGAACCCAGAAGTGGACCCTCAACTTTATGATCAACTAATATTCGATAAAGGAGGAAACCCTATGCACTGGAAGAAAGACAGCCTCTTCAATAAATGGTGCTGGGAAAATTGGACATCCACACACAGAAGAATGAAACTAGACCACTCTCTTGCACCATACACAAAGATAAACTCAAAATGGATGAAAGATCTAAATGTGAGACAAGATTCCATCAAAATCCTAGAGGAGAACACAGGCAACACCCTTTTGGAACTTGGCCACAGTAACTTCTTGCAAGATACATCCACGAAAGCAAAAGAAACAAAAGCAAAAATGAACTATTGGGACTTCATCAAGATAAGAAGCTTTTGCACAGCAAAAGAAACAGTCAACAAAACTAAAAGACAACCTACAGAATGGGAGAAGATATTTGCAAATGACCTATCAGATAAAGGGCTAGTTTCCAAGATCTATAAAGAACTTATTAAACTCAACACCAAAGAAACAAACAATCCAATCATGAAATGGGCAAAAGACATGAACAGAAATCTCACAGAGGAAGACATAGACATGGCCAACAAGCACATGAGAAAATGCTCTGCATCACTTGCCATCAGGGAAATACAAATCAAAACCACAATGAGATACCACCTCACACCAGTGAGAGTGGGGAAAATTAACAAGGCAGGAAACCACAAATGTTGGAGAGGATGCGGAGAAAGGGGAACCCTCTTGCACTGTTGGTGGGAATGTGAACTGGTGCAGCCACTCTGGAAACCTGTGTGGAGGTTCCTCAAAGAGTTAAGAATAGATCTGCCCTACAACCTAGCAATTGCACTGCTGGGGATTTACCCCAAAGATACAGATGCAATGAAACACCGGGACACCTGCACCCCAATGTTTATAGCAGCAATGTCCACAGTAGCCAAACTGTGGAAGGAGCCTCGGTGTGCATCGAAAGAGGAATGGATAAAGAAGATGTGGTTTATGTATACAATGGAATATTACTCAGCCATTAGAAATGACAAATACCCACCATTTGCTTCGACGTGGATGGAACTGGAGGGTATTATGCTGAGTGAAATAAGTCAATCGGAGAAGGACAAAAATTATATGGTCTCATTCATTTAGGGAATATAAATAATAGTGAAAGGGAATAAAGGGGAAAGGAGAAAAAATAAGTGGGAAATATCAGAAAGGGAGACAGAACATGGAAGACTCCTAACTCTGGGAAACGAACTAGGGGTGGTGGAAGGGGAGGAGGGCAAGGGGTGAGGGTGACTGGGTGGCAGGCACTGAGGGGGGCACTTGACGGGATGAGCACTGGGTGTTATTCTGTATGTTGGCAAATTGAACATCAATAAAAAATAAATTTATTATTAAAAAAAAAAAAAGAATGTGCTTTAAAGAGAAAGGGAGAGGCACCTGGGTGGCACAGCCGGTGAAGCATCTGCCTTTGGATAGGGTAATGATCCTAGAGTCCCGGGATGGAGCCCCACTTTGGGCTCCCTGCTCAGTGGGGAGTCTGCTTCTTCCTCTGCCCCTTACCCCACTTGTGCTCTCTCTCTCTTGCTGTTCTCTCAAATAAATAAATAAAATCTCAAAAAAAAATCCTCATTTAAGTCTATTAGAAAATCATTTTAAAAATAAATAAATAAATAAATGGGATGGGAGGGAAAAATAAAACAAGGCAAAATCAGAGAGGGAGACAAACCATAAGGGACTCTTAACCCTAGGGAACAAACTGAGGGTTGGTTGGGGAAGGGGCAAGTAACTAGGTGATGGACATTAAGGAAAGCCCATGATGTAATGAGCACTGCGTGTTATATAAGACTGACGAATCTCTGAACTCTACCACTGAAACTAATAATACACGATATGTTAATTAACTGAACTTAAATAAAAAAATAAAATGGCTCAAGTGAAAAAAAAAGAATATGCTTTAAAAAGAAGAAAAAATTATAATACTTCTTTAGGATCAAATTAAATTTGACATAGGATATATTTATAATACTAAAAATAAAAATTTTAAAGTAATAATATCATAAGCCAATATATCTCAAAATTTTGCAATAACTGCTCCAATAATAGAAATTAGTAAACTGGCCTCAGCAATCTTATGTATAAGACTATTACAGATGAAAGTGTTTTAAAACTTGACTTGTAGAAAGTAATTTCATTACCATAACAAGATACAGATTTCATAAAATCACTTCATCTTTATTTCTATCCAGTTTCCTGGTATTCAGAATATAAAAGACACAAAAGTATACTTTTTCTTATTATTATTCTTATTTATCTCTTATTTCTTATTATTTCATTATTTTATTAGAAATCTCTTACTTTTATGAGTAATATAGATTTATGATACTAAAATATTAGTATTAGTAATATATATTTATAATATTTATAAATATAATATGTATTTATAAACATGTATTTACAAAGGAGAAAACTGAAATGTAAACATGAATAGCATTCAGTCACAAGGGAAGAGACAAAGACACACCTAGACCGCAGTTTCTCTGATTTCAACTTCAATGTTCCTCATGTAGGAAGAATTTGTTTCAAATTTTCAGGATGTAATTAGTCTGCTAAACAACTTTACCAGTGATGTACCTTTATTAGCAACATCTGTAATGGTCTCTCTTTCATTGTCACATAAATAAAAAACAATACAATGGACTATGATTAACTTCACATACACATTTATGGAAATTTAACAAGTTAATAAAAGTAAGTCAAAAAATCCAGTCAAGAAAAAGACTAAAACACTCCAAAAAAATTTAAGCTAAAATTGTATTTTGCCATTTTGAGAGTCAATCATACTCAATTTGAGGATGAAAATGATCATCTTTCAAGAATGTGGTCTATAAAACAAATATTTTAATAATGTTTCTAAGTTCTATGCTTTAAATGCATACTATAATGTGTGCTATTTACAAGTTTCCATATACTTTACCAATACCAGCTTCACGAACCTTATGTTTCTAAACGTCTTACCTTTTTTGCTGTAGAAGAAGGAGGCTCCTTTTTCATACTTCTTAGTAAAAACTCTGGCATATTGTTTTCAATATCTTCACGAGTTCCCTTTTTATGCAAAACTGCAGCCAAAAATGAAATAACCTGAGAGAAAAGAAACAACTTTTTAATTATTGTGTAAATGTTTCAAGACAAAATTTATGGCTTACATGATTACCCAATTAGTGAAAATTTGAGTATGTACAAATAGATTTGTTACAGGGAAAAACAACATGAAATAGTAGTACTGGTTTTCTTTATATATACTAACAAACAAATGTATAGTACACATTATCCTTAAATACAGGAAAAAAGAATTCTCACATGGCTATCTCTTCCACAATAAGTTCTATCTACTCAATGAATTCATTCTTGATCTCATCAGGTAGGACATTACTTTCTTATGTTTCTTTCCATGGAAACTATCTCTTCATATACTCTACTAGAATAAACTATAGACATTCTTTTTTCCCTGTAGAAAATAAACCCCTTAAGGGAGTAATATTTGGCTCATAAAGTTGTACACTTCTGTTGATCTAATAATTATAAATGGAATGACAGAATGTTACTTTACGATAGACTAAGACAATTCATCAATATACAAACCACTTGGAATAACAGCTATTCTCCAAATACTAAGTAAGACAAGGAGACATAATAAAGGAAATGAAGAGCAAGAAATATTTAATCAATTGGATTTGGGTTCAAATGTCAGCCTAGTTGCTTTGGCAGCTATGTAAACTTGGGCAGGTTAATCTTTGAATAACCATAAAAATACATGAAAATAGCAAAAATAAATATTTGCAGAGTTGTTTTAAAGATTGAGGGAAAGTATTTGGGGTATACTTATGAGGGGAAAGAATCAGGACTTTAGAAAAGTTATATAAATATCAAAACCTAAAGAAAAAAAATGATAAAATTAGAAAAACTCAAAAACATAGTGTTTTTAACATGGTTACCTACCATCTGCATACCAAATGACAAAAGAAAAAGAGTGGTGTAAGTATTTGAAGAGATAAAAGCTGAAAACTTCTAAAAACGCTTAAAAAAATCAAGCCATGTATTTCAGATCCACTAAGAACATCAAACAGATAAATAAATAAATAAATATTCAATCCACAAGTAGGTGTTTCATAGAAAAACTGCTCAAAACTTGAGACTAAAAAAAAACAAAACAAAACAAAAAAGACATCTTAAAAGTAGCAAAAGGAAAACACATAAATTACCTTCCAAAAAAGCAACAACTGGACTAGCTGATCTTGCAGCAAAAACAATGAAAGACACTATATAGATTAAATGATAGTTTCAAAATGCTAAAGAAAATAAAAGCAACCTAGTTTTATACCCAATACAGATATTACTTAAGAATAAAGATGAAGATATTTTCAGACAAAAACTGAACAAATTCATCAAAAAGCCAAAGGAAACAACGAAAGGATGTGTTCAGGCACAGGGAAAATTATATGGAGATGGTCAGTGATGCAGGAAAAACTTAAAAGCAACAAAAATGGTGAATACATAGAAAATATAAATATATATATTAATATTATTGAACAAAACTAAAATGTCTTCTTGAAATTAAATAAAAGCACTAAGAGATATGAGAGCAAATGTATATGAGCCAGAAAGGGCCCAGCTCAGTTACAATATTCTGATGTCCTTACACTGTTCAAAAGGAAATAAAAGTACTAATTTATGTTAGATTTTTTGATAAGTCAAAAATGTGTGGGGGCACCTAGGTGGTTCAGTTGCTTAAGTGTCTGCCTTTGGCTCAGGCCATGATCCCAGGAACCTGGGACTGAGCCCCACATCAGGCTCCCTGCTCAGTGGGGTCTCTCTCTCTCCCCCCCTCCCTCTCTCTCTCTCCACCCCTCCCCTGCCTGCAGCTCCCCCTGCTTGTGCTCTCTCTCTTCTCTGTCAAATAAGTAAATAAAATATTTTTAAAAATTGTTATAATCTCTAGGGTAACCACTAGAAGTAAAATACATCAATGTGTAAGTACTATCCTATTAAGAGAGAGAGAAAAGAAAAATATAAAATGATCTATTCAAAAGTAGGCAAAAAGAACATGAAAATAAACAAAGATAACATACAACAAATAAAAAGCAATAATAAAATCGGTTTAAATCCAAATATATTAGAAAGCACATAACATAGAAGGGACTAAATGTTACAATTAAAAGACAAAGATCGTCAGGTCCATAAAATATGTCATTTACACACAAAAAAATTTAAAACAAGATATAGAAAAAAGTCTAAGTAAAAAAAAATGAAAAAGACCATGTGAACAAAAATGAAAAGAAACTTGATATATAGCTATATTAATAGACTCTGAGGCAAAAAAAATATGGAATTAATTTAAAAGACACACTTCAAGCTTGATATTAAAAACTTAATTCATGTGGAAGTTACAAGAAGTATAAATTGTTAAGCAAAGAAAGGTTTACTGAAATAAAAGTGGACAAATTCATATCACAATGGTAAGATTTTGAAATAATCAGTAAGAACAATCAAAATATTCAGTAAAGATACAGAACATTTGAATAACATGCTTAGCAAATGTGACCTAGTGAACATTTAATCAAAAACTGTATACTACTGCAAAACACAGTTTCATTTAAAGTACACATGAGAGGCGCTTGGGTGGCTCAGTCCATTAAGCATCTGCCTTCAGCTCTGGTCATGATCTCAAGATCCTTGGATTGAGCCCTGCACTGTGCTCCCTGTTTAGCAAAGAGTCTACTTCTCCCTCTCCCTCTGCCCCCATTCTGCACATGCTCTTTCTCACGTGTGTGCTCTTTCTCAAAAAATAAAATCTTCAAAAAAAATTTATAATAAAGCACAGATGAAATATTTACACTAAGGCATCATACAAAGTCATAGAGCAAATCTCAATACATTTCAATAAAAATCATATAGAATATGTTCTTCAATGTGAGAAGCTAGAAATAACAAAAGTAAAAGAAGAAAATCTACAAAAATTTATAAAGTAAGAAAAATCCTTCAAAGAAGAAATATACTTTAAAGTATATTAGAATAAGGGGTACTTCAATTGGTTAAGTATCTGCCGTCAGCTCAGGTCATGATCTCAGGGTCCTGAGATCGAGCCCTGTGTTGGGCTTGCAATTAGTGTGGAGTCTGCTTGGGACTCTCTCCCTCTCTGCCTCTACTACCACGTTCTCTCTCTCTCTCTCAAATAAATAAAATCTTTAAATATATATATAAAATAAAAATTAAAAATAAAGTATATTAGAATACATTTGTATTTCACAATTGAGATTAGGATATATTTTGAGTTAAACAATAATAATATTGCATATTAAACTTGTGGACTACACCTAAAATCATGTTTTAGGGACTTAAATGCCTATATTAGGAAAGAAAAGCTGCTAATAAAGAAAATTATTTCAAAAATTAATAAAAATATAGAAGTCATACATAAAAAACCAGAATTATATACAAAATGTTAAGTGAAAAAGCATATAATAAAAAGGAACAAAGACAAATCATCATTCTATGAAAGGATTTTAAAAAGTGATAAGCCTCTAGAAAATTAATGAAAAACTAAGAGAAGGTGCAAACACACACATGCACTCACATACACACACTCACACACAAAGCATATAAAAATATCATGACACTAAAAACTTAGAAGAAATGAGGAACAGAACTTATCAATACTGGCACAAGAAAAAACAAAATTTACATATTCATAAACCTATTAAAGAAATCTAAATACACATTTAGAAACCTTACACAAAGAAAACTAAAGGTCAAATGGCTTCATCAATAGCCTACCAATGCTTAAGAAAGATACAATGCCAGTCTCAGAGCAGCTGGGTGGTTCAGTGAGTTAAGCATCTAACTCTTGATCTCACTTCAGATCTAGATCTCAAGCCCCATACTCCACACCCAGTGTGGAGCTTACTTAAAAAAAAAAAAAAAAATGGAAGGAAGGAAGGAAGGGAGGGAGGGAGGGAGGGAGGGAGGGAGGGAGGGAGGGAGGGAGAAGATATAATGCATGTCTTAAATTCTTCCAGATACTAAACTGGGAAAAATGGTCTCAACTCATCTTATGAGTTCGACATAATCTTGATAAGAAAATATGACAAGGGGATCCCTGGGTGGCGCAGCGGTTTGGCACCTGCCTGTGGCCCAGGGCGTGATCCTGGAGACCCGGGATCGAATCCCACATCGGGCTCCCGGTGCATGGAGCCTGCTTCTCCCTCTGCCTGTGTCTCTGCTTCTCTCTCTCTCTCTCTCTCTCTCTCTCTCTCCTCTCTCTCTCTGTGACTATCATAAATAAAAATTTAAAAAAAAGAAAAATTAAAAAAAAGAAAATATGACAAGAATATTATATGCAAGAGACTGATACGCCAATTTTTCTTACTCATATAGAAGCAAAATCCTTAAAATATTAGCAAATGTAACACAGAAAAAATAAAGAAATATATATCAAAACAAAGTTGGGCTGATTCTTGGAATGTAAGTTTGTGTTAATCTTCAAAATATAGATATTGTATGGGTATTAGGTATGTTAGGTATGGCACTTAACTTTTCTAACATTAGTTTCCTTATAATAAGAATAGGACAACCCATTTCATTTCAAGACACATTTTACATGAAGTTCTATATTATTAACTTGAAGCACACTGTGAAAAGTTGGGAATGTATATTTTTATCACTAAAGTAACCACCAAAAAAAAATGTAAATATTAAAAAGCCAATAGAACTGAAATATTTTTTTGAAAATATCCTAGCAACCAAAAAGAAAGAAGGAATGGAAGAAGAGTAAGACAGAAAACAGCCTGTTCAAACAAAAAGTAAAATAATATGTACAAATCGAAATATAACAGAAATCACATTAAGTGTAAATGGACTAAATGCTCCAATTAAATATCTAAGACTACCAAAATCATAAAGAGTTGTCTACTTAATTTTTTATTTTAATTCCAGTATAGCTTGCATACAGTGTTATATTATTTTCAGGTGCATAATATAATGATTCAACAATTCTATATATTATTCAGTACTCATCAAGATGAGTGTATTCTTGATCTCCTTCACCTATTTCACCCATCTGCCCACTCATCTTCCCCCTGATA